CACAGACAGATGAGCAGGCGAGAGATCACAACACAGATGATGAGCAGACGAGATATCACAACACAGATGATGAGCAGACAAGATATCACAACACAAATGATGAGCAGACGAGATGTGAAGAGAAGAAGTTAGCCCCAGCGACACACCAACGCCAATGTAGAGATGTGCAATAATACCTCACTCATCACAACACAGTACACAACACAGACAGATGAGCAGACGAGACTATTACAAAATAACAAGAGCTAATACTACATAAATATAATAACAAGAGCTAATACTACAACACATATACATAAAGCCAAAACAAAATATAGGTGTGGTTACGGTTTCCCGACCGACCCTATTTGTTCCCAGCGACCCTAAACATTTTATTGTCAATTTTCTTGAAAATAAAATATAAAAAAAATAAATTAAAAAAAAATTTAAAAAAAATGAATTGGACAGTTCCTGCTTCAAAAGGCACATCGCACATCCTTCAGACATGGTTCGTAAATAAAATATTTCAAGAAAATAAAATGTTTTCCCTACCTACCTACCCTATTTTTTTTATTGGCATGTAGCGGTAACCACACATATATTTTGTTTTGGCCTAATACATAATTCATAAATGTTTGCAAGAGAAGGCTGCAGTGCAAACGTAACGATCGTACGAGAACTCGCGCCTCTCTCAATCCTCCGCTAACACTCTACCTTTGCCTGCACCCTCGCTCGTTTACCTTGTCCGCCGCTTGCACCTGCGCGTCCATTATCTGCCGCAGCTTGTCGCTGCCAATGAGAGAGCGGTGTCGACACGCGGCGACGCATGCCTGGATGGCTTCATGCTGCTGGTGAAGCTGCTGCTGCAGCGTCAGTAGACTCGTCATGTGCTGCGTGGACTCCTCCTCCCTGCTCGCGGGGACAGACACCTCGTGTAGAAGTGTGTGTGGGTGGGTGGAGGGTGTGGGTGGGTAGAGGGTGTGGGTGGGGGAGGGGTATGTGTGCGTGTGTGCGTGGGTGGGTGGGGTGTTGTTGGGGGTGGTGTGTGTATGTGTGTGTGTGTGTGCGTGTGTGTTTGATTGTGCGTGTGTGTATGTGTGCGCACGTTTAAGTGTGTTCTTTATTCAAGGTCTAGAATCTCTTAAGGAGAACAGACCTAACTGCACATCAGTGAGAATATCATTAGATACACGTACACTTCGCATTCATTACCACATTGTTTGCGACAATGAGCATTCAATATTGCATCGCCACAGCAACTAGCATTCCTCAGCATGTCACCATGACAACGAATATTCATCATCATGTCGTCATGGCAAAAAGCGTTTGCCGCCACAGAAACTAGCATTCCTCGTCACGTCACCACGACAACGAACATTCATCGTCATGACGAGCGTTTGCTGCCACGGCGATATGCATTCATCGTCGCGTCACCACGGCGACGAGGGTTTGTCGTCACGGTGACAAGAGTTTGTTGCCATGGCGACGGGCGTTCTGACTCACAGTTTGCGCTGCATCTCGGCGTCCTCCTGCATCTGCTGGGCTTCCTTCAGCTTCATGTCGAGCCGCTGCTGCCGGTGACTGCTTGCCTCCTGTAGCCGCTGCCGCTTCTCCCACATCTGCCGCGCGCTGAAACATCACGCAGGTCAGGTCAGGTCAGGTCAGGTCGGGTCAGGTCAGGTGGAGTTGGGTGGGGTCATGTTGGGTGGTGTGGGGTCGTGTGGGGTCAGGTGGGGTTGGGTGGGGTCATGACAGGTGGAGTGGGGTTGTGTGGGGGTCAGGTGGAGTCGCGTGGGGTCGGGTATGGTCGTATAGGGTCGTATGGGGTCGTGTGGGGTCGGGTGGGGTCGGGTGGGGTCGTGTGAGGTCGTGTGGGGTAGTGTTGGGTCGTGTGGGGTCAGGTCGGCATTATTACATTAGAACTCAACAAACCTGAGCTCAGAATCCACCTCAAACACTACCCTGGCATCGTACGTGATCAGCTTCCCCCCGCACACACTTACTTCTCCTCCTCCTTCCTTCTCTCCGTACATAATCGGTCTCCCCCTGCACACACACTCACTTGTCTTCCTCCTGCGTCATGAGGGACTGCACGATGTCGTCTGTGTTCCTCTCCTGCGCCGCCTCCAGCGAGGTGAGCTGGTGCTGCGCCTTCTCCTGCACCTCCCTCCAGTACAGATCGTGGTTCTTTTTTCGCCGCGCGACAACCTCCTGAGAAAGGTCACGCACGGAACCTGTGTTAGCGGTCACCTCTATATAAAGGACACCTGTCTATAAAGGGCGTATAGTCGAACCTGTGTTAGCGGTCACCTCTATATAAAGGACACCTGTCTATAAAGGACGTATAGTCGAACCTGTGTTAGCGGTCACCTCTATATAAAGGACACCTGTCTATAAAGGGCGTATAGTCGAACCTGTGTTAGCGTTCACCTCTATATAAAGGACACCTGTCTATAAAGGGCGTATAGTCGAAC